CGGAATTTTGATAAATGTGGGGACTTTTAGAATAGGCTTTCTCCCAAGATGTGGATTGTCTGGGGCGTTGATTATTAGAACTTGAAAGTACTCTCTTTGGGCTACAATTCTCTAAAAAAATTAGCGTGGGATCTCCAAGAACGGCTCCAGGGCACTTAGTGCAAAATACGAAAAAATGAGCTTTTTTCTATGGGAAATCTACTCAAGCGCACTTCGAAATTCCTCCAAGGATTCTACTATGTGACATAAATTTTATATGGTAAAAATCAGCGTCTAATTCTCTATTAGTCTGTATCGAAATATCCTTTGAAAATGAAAAAAAAGATTTTTACGAAAAATCGTCCTAGGGGGGTACAGCGATTGTGAGAATAAAATGTTACAGAAAGAGGCCTGGAGGGGGGTAGGGGAATTTTTCGTTAAAATTTTCTTTCTCATTTTGAAAGGATATTTTGATACAGGACAATAGAAAATTTAATGCTGATTTTTACATAATAATATGTATATCACATACTCAATTCCTTGGAGGAATTTTGAATTGCACTTGAGTAGATTTCCCATATAAAAAGGCTCATTTTTTCGTATTTTACAGTAAGTCCCCTGGGGCCGTTCTTGGAGATCTCACGCTAATTTTTTTAGAGAATTGTAGCCCAAAGGGAGTACTTTCAAGTTCTAATAACCAACATCACAGACAATCCATATCTTGGGAGAAAGCCTATCCTGAAAGTCTCCACATTTATCAAAATTCCGTTTTTCACGGGGCTGCCGTGAGCAAATGAAACGGTATGGATAGCTGAAATTTTCAGAAGAGATACATCTTTCATTTTTTTATGTGATGCAGTTATTCTTGTAATAAAGGTTCACAAAAGTAAATCGGGATCGGGGAATCCGAATCTGAAGTCAGTTTCTTAAAATTTTGAATTGAATTTTAGGGTCAAGAAAAGGGTTTTTTGAGAAAATGACGATATTTTATGAAGGTTGACCAACGCAAATCCAGGTCGGAGAACCCGAATCTCAAGTCAACTGTTCAAAAACTCAAGTAGTTTTTTGTATGAGACAAATCATCCTTTTTTATCTGAATTATTGTCTAAGGAAAAAGTCAATTTTTTTAAAGCAAAAGGCATTTGAAAAAATGGAAACCCGAAATATGGACAGTCCTTCTGCGTATTTGGAGTTTGTAATTGCTGTTTAGTTTCGGTAGCCTCTTCATAGTATCGTTGTAGACATGAATCAGAGTGTGATCTAATGGATTGAGTGTTTCAGTAAGTCGTAGTGTGATGAAACAGTGTTTACAAACCATTGGCACTCAGTCTAATGTGTGCGACATTGTGGGATTCATGATTATTCATAGTGGTTTGTGAGTTAAGTGGCCTTTTTTGAGTGCACTCTGCTTAAGTCGAGAGAAGTAGCATTAAAAGAATCCTGTAAATGAAGTTACGGCCTGTAGGATAAATGCTGAATAACCAATGATTGTTTTAATGCATTCCAAGAATGCAACAAGGGACTATGAGCAAGGCCCGAGAGAACTGTTGGAGAACTAGTGGTCGTTAAAATTGCGAACGTATTCTAATGTTGTTTAGCAAAGGATCTACGTGAAACCTGCATTTATCAAGAATAATCAACTAAGATTCTCCAAACCAGAAGCCCTAATAAAATTTTACCGTATTGGCTAAACCATTGGGTTAAAGAAATTAGGAATAAATAACAGAAAACTGTTGGTCCGGAGCTGCTCATGTGGAGCGATGGTGTTATAAATCTAATATTCTAAGTAAGAGCAATCTGTCATTTAACAGGGTTTAAGTGAAAAGAACTATCTTATGGGAGAAGAAAATCAGAGGTTGCAGCAGCTAGTCGCGAGTGGCGCCCCAGAGGGGCGCCGACGAGCGACTAGCTGGTGCACTCGACAGTTGCATTTTGAAGGACGTTAAATTAAAAAGATTTAACAAGAGGATGTGAAGGGGTTAGATCTGATGAGTTTCAAAACGGACTCACAGTGAAAAAAAAGGAGAAATATTTTTGTATGCATCCTAAGACAAGTTTTTCTCGAAGAATAGAATATAGTGACAATGTATGGATGGAAAACATCATTAAAACAGTTAAATTCACTCCATCGAAAACGAACTTGAAAGGAAAAGAATTAGTTTTTCGGTTCGTATATTTTTTTGTGGATTTAGAATGTGCATTTTCTGAAGTAGATGATCAGCTAAAACAGTATATGTCTTTTTCGGTTTTGCATAAATGCATGAAAAAAGAAGAGAATAATTGGAAATTGTATGTTTGTTTTCGTCTTATGAAAATATTTATCAATTAAGTGAGTCATTTGTAGTTACTATGGAATGGTTTTTGACTATTTATTAGTTAAATGTACGCGATAAGAGTGAATAAGCTATTGAATTTGGTCGTGTTTGATACTTATAAGAAAGGTTCTTGCGTGTTTTTAAATCTATCATCTGCGGAAATATATACATGGATAGGCGTGGGTCTAACATTGAGTCCTGGCATTAATTTGTCATATGCTACAATTACTATTGTGAAAAGTGATACTTTTATCCCGGTATGTTTTCGGGAATTCTGATA